GATGGAGTGGTAGCGTTTGATGTGCTGATCAAATTCTTAGATGAAACTAATGCATCATACCAGCCCTCTTTTGAAAATATATAACTGAAATTAGGATTAGGCCCTAATTCTTTATCATAAACATAAACTTTGGCTTTTGTAATGCTTATTGTATAATTCACTTCAGTTCCTGAATCTTTGCTGATTTCGAAGAAAATCGTCGAATTTGCTTTGGCTGGGTTTTGAGATGCATTGATCCTCAACTTTTCAATGCTTTCTTGAACTATCACTACGATCTCTATACTAACCATTGATAATACATTTGATGCATTAAGCTTTAGATTTACTCTTCCGTTGCCACGCTTGGAAAACACAATAGACTGTGAACTGTTCAAAAAGTTACTGTACTTCTCATCATAAACTTGCCATAAGTAAGTAACATTGCTACCAGCACTGATATTTGCTTTAACCATGTATGACGAGTTGACTTTCAAGGGAGGTACATCGAGTATTGATAATCCTTGAATACGTTCTATAACATATACAGTTTTACGAGCGTGCATTGCGATACCAAATTCAATATGGCAATGAATATGATGCAAGCCTGGCGTCAAGGTGATCTCAATCGTACTACAGTTAGAGAATGCTAAATACTCTTTGTCAATTTGCAATATTGTTACGTAGACCAGTGGAGAGTTCTCGGGCATTAAACTGCACGTGATATTAGTTGAAACGTTGCTCTCGATGTGTGTTGGGGTAATGACTTTGACTGGGTTTGTAACGTTGATGTTAATCGTAGCGTTCACTGCTGACACCATATTCAAAGCTTCAACTGTCGTGTTTATGCGCCCGGATTTCAAATACGCATGCGTGATGGTGTTGTTAGTGGATGTCACAACATCACTACCATCACCAAAATACCACTTGTATGTAACATTTGTTCCTCTCATCACCTTTACTGATAATTGAGTATCAAATCCTTGATAAATTGTACTGTTTTGAATGAGCTTGCCTGCGTTTACACCTTTTATTTTCTCTTGAACGATGACTGTTGTAGTTAACAGCCTTCCATTTAATCTATTCGCAACAACAACAACTAGCAAATGTTCGCCAAGGCTGGTCAACGTAAAATTTTGATGATCAGTCATTTCTTCCTGATTACCCATTGTTAAATAGGGGGAAGACATAGTCGTAACATTGTTAATACGCCACGAAACTGTAGCGTTCGTCCCGTTTTGAAAGGTCAAAGAAACCATGAATTCTTCATTTAAAGGTCCGTAAATGAAGCAAGAGTTAGTCGCAGTAACAAATGAAACATTCCCAACTAAATACAAAACAGATACTGACTTCAATACCTTGACGGTATCACCTTTTGTGGAATATGTGAATACAATATTCTTTAATCCTTGAACAGCATGAGGAGCGATACTTGCAGTAAACTCAGACTTTCTTAAAGCAATTCCAGATAAGAGGATATTTCCAGTTGTCATTTTTTTCATAGCATTATCGATCACAAACTTATCAGACAATGCGACAATATTCTCCCACACGCTATACGCACCATGACTAGAATCCACGGCAATAGTCGCGCCCCCTGGTGAATTTAACAAACCCATGATGTCTCCAGGTAGATACTCAAACGTTTCATCAATAGATAACTTTTTTAAGTTATAGCCGACTGTGACAGACAACGAAATATTAAAAACAAGTGCATATTGATCGAATAATGGCACTGGGTCACTATTGAATGAACAGTTCTCCTGAACTAAACGGAAATTTGCCATTCCACAAACTACATCGTTTTCATTTAGTTGATGCAAGAGTTTGTAGTCGATTGGGCAACATGTTTTCGACGATGGACAATAGGTTTTATTACTAGGGCAGATTGGCCTCAGTACCTGCAAAAGATGTGAATTTTTATTTAAAGAAATTGTGATAATGTTTTTCGTGTTCCAGGAAGCAAGGATTAAAGAAAATACGGCACATTTAATGACCCTCGCCAATTTTTAGAAAAACAGATCATTAGTACAGTTGAACTTAGTTTTTCATGGCAATGTTTTAAATTTACACTATCTTTGGTGGCCGCACTACTCGACCAAACATGAAATTCTTACTTTCCTTACTTTGTCTTATGTCATTTATTGACAACCTCACCCTCTAAAATTTTTAGCACCACCCCTTGTAAAAATACATATGAAAATCTGTTCATGTTACAGATAATTATCCTTTACAAGTAATCAAACTTAAAAGCGAACACTCCAGCAGAATTTAGAACTAGTTATAAAAAACTTTAAACATGAGTGTATGATACATGAGGGTGTGTGACAAAAATTGATACATTACATCCACACGTCCGAAAAATTGAACAAGTAAGAATGTTGCAATAAATTGAAAATCTTACCACAATTTTAGTTCTCCGGGCTTTTCACGTTCATCTCCCAAGCATGGACAGTTACAGGTTGAGAGCTTAAAGTTGCCAATGAAACGACAAGACCAAGATTAAGATCAGAAGAGCTGGTATCATTAAACTTCCAACGTGGAACGGGACTTCCAATGTTCAAACTTACTGGATCTGTAATTGTTTTCAAATTAATTATTATTTACATTTGATCATTTTCAGCAACATAATCGTCATTGAAGGATAATATGCGCTATAATCCACCCAAATAATTTTTTATGCAGTCAACAAGCACGTTTTAATAAATACACATGCTAGAGAGCTCGTTCGTAGAAATCTTGAGGGTTCAGCAACTAAGGAGCCAGAAGAAGTTTTGAAAAGAGCTGTTTTAGAGCTATAAGTCATCAAACAATCACACAAGAGACCTAAAAAGAGCTGTTTTAAACTCAAAGATACAAAACTATGCCGTGAGAGAGAAAAACTGAAAAGTCCACAAACTTAGGAAGTTTATGAATAAATTTCTCATAAAAATTACGAAGAAATCAAGATGTCTTAAAATATCAAAATATATATAGTGGGATGACAACGCTCATTTCATCATCTTATGATAAATATGCAAACGTTTCTTCGTGTGTAAAATGTGTTTTTTCTACCTGGTATAACCATCCATTCATCAACATTATCTAGAATCCACGTCATGTTCGTTTCTTTACCAAAATTCAAGCTTCCACGGCATATTATAGACAAACCAGCTTGTACATAAGTTGGGCAGTTTATATCTCCAACTTGCAGGGAGCTACCAACATTTTCTGATTTTTTAAATGTTTGAGTAATTCTACCGAGAACAATTATAACTATTTCAACATCGTCACCCCATGTTGTAAAGTAGAAAGGGTAGCTATTTCCAAACGATTTGCCTTCTTCTGGTGCAATATTTTGTCGAGGTGATTCGTAAGATAGTTCGTACTTGTATTGATAACTGGAACCCTCTAAAGAAGTTACACTAAGAAGAGATTCGCTTAAGATCATTGGCTGTGAGAGAAAGTTGATTTGAGGCTCGCTTCGAAGTAATGAGCTGAGATTGAAAACTTTCACTGACGCGAAGCCAACACAGTTTCCTGATGAATGGTTGAAACCAGCCTGATCACAACATAGTGATGGTAGGTTTTAACAGTATCATTTCCACAAAGACATATTGAGCCCGTCATGATAGCAGCGAACTTATTTCTGCCCTCAGAAGAGCACATCTTCACACACTGATAAGGTGTGGCTTTGTTAGGATCATATGTTTCGGGAGATGACTGAAAACTCGACGTTGATGCGAGTGCAAAACATCCTTCATAGTTTTTAGCTAAATAGAAAAGACAAAATTTCTATGGCATGAAGTTTTTTTCTTCACTAAAATATTTTTTAAAACTTTAAAGGACTTTCTTTACAACTGTAAAGTTTGCATACTTATTTCCTAAAGCACATTATAATGTTATGACACTTTTCAAAACGTAAGTTAGAAAACATGCGGTCAGTCATTTCCGAATGATTAAAATCATGCTCATTTTTGTTGCAATCCTCTGCAATGAAATTTATTTAAATTTCACAAAAACTGCACTGAATAGTTCCAGAAGTAAGAGTGCAAACATGCAATAATGTTGAAAAGAAAGTCCATTACAGTTTTAGAAGATCATTTATTTACGCGTTGATGAAATGCTCAGTATCATATCGGCAATCAATTTAATATTAACTTTTGTGCGCTAGTTTATTAGTTGTTGGAGCAAATAATTCATTTACACAAAACAATATATACATGCAAAGTGTGCAAAACTGGAGGTATTAATAAATTGATCAATTATTGAAATTTCAATGTTTGCATGACCACTATGCTGCTATAGCCAAGCGTCAATTATTTTGCAGATTTTGCTGTTTTAACAAGGTCATTGTACATAATAACAGGTAGCAAAAACTACTTTGCTCATAATGCAAAAATGCAAAATGACGGGGCATTGAAGTTCTAACAACAGTTATATTTCTTAAGGTCACGATATTCATAGAAAAATCGACAGTTGTATTGATTGATATAATTATAAACTCTTTCTTAAAAATCAAAATTTGTTTGATGGATTCAAAATCGCCATTTTGGATTACTTATATCATTTAAGGCAAATAGTTGGTCAAAAATTTTGAGAGAAACTCCATTTTTCACAATGTTATTTAAATGTTTTAAAACATTACCATTAAAGCGAAAAATTATCGCTTGCACTTATCACGAAGCTACGGTGGCCCGTGCGAAGCATTTCAAAATACGACAAGACACTAACGGCGACAACAGCAATCATGGAAGTTAGGGGTTCTTTACATGAGTACGACAGGCAGGGCTAACCCTTACCAAGCAAGATCTCGCATGCTATTAAAATTCGGTAAAAAATCACGACTCGTTTACATGAACCCTACCAACCTACATCTCGCTATGGTTTATCCGAGATCTCGCCATGTAGGTCTGGAAATTTCCCATGTAAACGCAGGGCTAGACCTCCCTGTAGGACTGTCAATTTAACACATTTGCATGCGATAAGGCATCGCTTTTTACAAATGGCGACAGGAAAAGTCATCAACGGGAGCAAACAAACTAAGAAAGCGTACAAAAGCAAAAGGCGATAACTGTTTTGTTTTGTATTTTAGCGCCGAAACTTGCTGTTCAAGCCGAGCTCTTGATGTAGGGCTAGAATTTGCATGCAAAAGAGAGGTAAAATACAGCCCTACAGAGAGCACTGGCTCTTTCCGTAGGGCTCAGCCTGTAAACAGCCTCTTAGTTAAAATATTTGTGTTTTTGGAATTAATTTTATGATCAGTTTAACATTACAATCTGTTTTTATCTTCTTCAATCGCCACAATATATATAAATCGCTAAATTATAAAAACAAAGAATGCCAAGCAGTAAAAGCGTTTCCACATCAAAGTAATAAAACGCCCATAAAAAAATATATAAACGATGCGTATAATGTTGACATTTGTCATCATAAAGACTTTCACGTCAATATAATTTCAAGACAGGTAATCGATCATGTGCCAAATACACATGTGTAGAAATAACATTAAATCATCAAATCCATGGAATTTTATTTGAATAATATAACTAATAGGAGAAGCTGATTTATATGGTCTAGCAGCGTACTTTTTTCCTGAGGTTGGTTGTGCTGTTCATTGATCCACCTCAAAAACCTTGGCTCATTAAATGAAGAAATATTTATTTATGTCAGAATGAATGACATTCGTGATCACGCGATGTATTATACGTGTCGAGAAATGACACTGCTAAGTGAGTTATAAATTTTCTCTTCGGACTTATAAAGCGTTCGTTGTCTGGATCATAACTTGTCACCAGTCCAATGGCCGAGCCAGGTGAGAAAGACGACAACACAATGAATGGTGTATCGCATTGAATCATGGGATATTCGTTCGTGTCTATAAAACAGCATGAAGTGTATGTTAACAAAGTTGAGGCAGTATATACCGTTTACATGTAGAGTGGACAAGATGAGCAAAAATTGAATGTACACTTCTTAAATCGGATCCAAAATTTCACTTTTATCAACGTTTGCATTTAGAGTAATAGAACCCATTCATTACATTTTAAATTGGATAAAATCTTAAAACGCAACCAAATACATGTTAGAGTAGATGTAAAGTTTATATAGTCTTACCCATAACGTCAATTCTGAACTGTCTTTCGATAGAGTTCTCAAGTTCATTAGGATTGTCTAATATTTCCTCACATTTTATGTTGATATATATCATACGCTGGTCTTCAAAATCAAGAGGACGAAGGGTCTTTAAAATTGGAGGGTTAGAGTTGTTGTCAATATAGAAAGAAGCGTTGTTAATGGCTCCTCTGCTGTTGAGTATTCTACAGTCAAATTTCTGGCCAACATCTGGATCTGTGATATTCACAATTCCCACGAAGCTATTATTCATATTTTCACGAATTTCCGTTCCAATCAACTCCATCATTGAGGGCGGTTCATTCACATCTGTAAATATCGACATACTTTCTTTAAAATATCATTCACATTTTTCTCTCTTCTCCTAAATCTAACTTTACCTTTGACTGGGATCACAAACAACTTATTGATACTCATTCCAAATTCATCTTCACAGCTGATATTTATCTTTAAAGATTTTGAAGAATCCAGACTTTCATAATCTGTAGGTCGTAGACCGACAAGCAACGTGAGCAAGTCTAGTTTCACTCGATCCTCGCTGGAGTCAAGAAGTTTACATGAAGTTTTTATGTTCCTGTCTTCATCAATCATGGCGACATTGCTGATAAAAATATTTTCAACGCTGTTTTCAGTCAATGAAGAATCCTTTCTTATTTCAATGTCCGTTGGCGCATCATTTACGTCTATAAAAAAAACAAACACAAAAATAGTTCATTTAAAAATGTACCATCGGTTATACTATATCACACACTCAGCAAGTAGTTTCATAAACATTCCCCAAACCTTGATGTCTACTGCCACCCTAATCATACCTCCTGCACACCTGCTTATTGTTAAATTAGAGTTTAGCATAAAGGTGCGATCTCCCAATCATTCCTGAACCTACTTTGGCGCTCGTTTTTAATGTAGTAATTAACCCTATCAGATCATCTTCATCCCACTATGACACATATTGTTCCCCAGTAAACTAAGTGATCTCAAATATTTAAAAGTTGCCAATAGAATTGTTCTTTGTAAATAAACAAACCTAGAACAGTTATGGTAAAAATTTTTTCAAAATGCAATCCACCGCCATCAGTGACAATAACGTGCACCAATAGACTTGGTGTAAGCTCGTAATCAACTGATCCCAAATGAAATAATTCATCATGATTGGTTCCACCAATGAGAAAAGATGCAGTATTATCAGCAAGAGTGTAAGTAAAGGATTGATTGGAGCCATCGGGATCTTCAGCGGTTAAAGTACCAACATACGTCGTGTTAGGAGAGTTTTCTTGAAGAGTTGAGTTGGATAAATAAAGAGATGTTGGTGCTTCGTTAACATCTATAAAATAACATTAGACGAATACAATTGAATATTAAAAGTTTTAAACGAAAGCATAAAATAAAGAAAAAATAAACACTTAAAGGAATAAAACAATGCACAAATAAAGTGCAGCTTTGATTCTTTTTTGGCCTTAGACCACAGTGCAAAGTTCAAGTCTTCAGGTAAACACTGATCACTGATATATAAAATGAGCGATTTAAAAAAATGAGTTTTTCACCACATTTAAAGGGACATCAGGCCGATAGTGAAGTATATAAAATAAGCATTTAAAAAATAAAAAAGACAACAACAGTCTACAGGATAGTTTACCATGCAGCGTTAGTTAGAAATATTTGCACAGCACACGTTATATGTATTCAAACATTAGACTTACCAGTGATAAAAATTTGGAATAATTTAGAAATACTGAAGCCAGTATCGCGACAAGTGACAGTGATATTGTATGCATTTTTTCTTTCAAAATCAAGACGGTCATTCCATTTAACTCGAAGAATATTGCGATCAGTTTCGTGAGTAATGTAAAACTCATCTTCGTCACCATTTAAAGAGCTCTCGAGGGAGCAAATGTGGATCTGAGGTGGCACACTTTTTACGTCCGGATCTTTCACCTGTTGACAGAAGTTGTTACTATAAGACAAATGTTCCATGCTTCATTTTTAACACAACTATACGTTTGCACTAGGGACCAGTTTTCACTAAATGAATAACATTGGATATGAAATTCGTTTTGTTGAGTTTCTTGAGACAGTGTAAAATTTAAATATTGTTTTAGGTGCATGCACGTACAATAAAAACCGCAACAGTTCAAACAAATACTTCAGAAAGAACATCTATAATTGAAATATGAAAAACATTGCCTTTCATTGAGGACCATCGAGCAATCTTCGCACAACTTCATAACAAACAATAAGTATAAGAAATCAACACATTTAACTCACCAAAAACTCTCCAATCATTGTTGAAGAAGGAGAATTTTCCGCTGCAAAATTTTCAGTCATCAAAATATCCGTTGGAGCTTCATTCACATCGGTTACTTCAATTCGAAATTTTTTACGCGTCACTCCCCCCGGATCTGTGACAGTTAACCAAACAATGTACTCATTCTCCTCTTCGTAATCAAGAGAACCGTTTACAACAAGGGGGGTTGAGAAAATCTTAACAGATTTGCCATTTTGAAGACGATGGTCAATTTTAGCACCTATAGGGAAAAATGAAAGGTTTAACAGATGAAAAATTGAGTTGACAAGCTGTACAGGATCCCATTAGAATTTTCTTTAAGGAAAGTATCTCCTTTTGCCTTCATACTAAACTATTTCATCTTCTGTTTGATATTAAAGTCAGAAGAACTATCAAAGTAGATTAGGTGAGGCAGTCTAAGTTATTGCAAGAAAGTACATTAGAAAATCAGAGGTTATAAATGTAAATCTTAACTGGATCTCATACTTTTGCTCGTCTAGAAACTTGTTTCACAAACAAACCTTGCAAAGCAAATTTCCTACGAACCATAACATCGCTTTCTTTCAATTCAAATTTAAGCGTGTCGTTATCGTCATCAATCGCTCCGAAGTAGCCAACGATAGAGCCGAGATCGGAATTTTCCGGCACCTGATTATTTGTCAAATTAATATACTTTGGTGAATCGTTGCTATCTTGTACAACAATAAACAAACTTTGGATAGACGAAGATTTAGGTGGGTTACCGCTGTCCGTACATTTTACTTTTATACGATGTACATTCTTTGCTTCGTGATCAAGACTTTTCGCAACAATTATCTGATGACCTAAAAGCTTAAAGTAACCCATATCGGAGTCGACCAGCTCCCAGTTAAAATTTGAAGTGCGTTTTTGACCAAGATCATCATCTCTAGCTGTTAGATTACCAACAACAGAACCAATCTTGACATTTTCAAACACTTCGTTATTTGAAAGTTTTATGTCGTAAGGAGGATCATTAATGTTCAACACAGTAATTCTAAAAGTTTTTGTAGTAAACATAACAGGTGAACCATTATCGCTTACTTTGATTTCAACTGTGTAGATATTATTTGATTGGGGTTTCCACACTAAACGTTTCTTCGCCAACAGCAAATTACCTTGAATGAGAAAGTAAAAATTTGCCTCTGCGTTCACTATTGTGAACGTCAGTTGATCATGTTGAGGATCGTTTGCAGTGAAATGGCCAATACTGGAGAGAATTTTCATTTTCTCATCAATGGCAATATTTGAAAAGACGATATTCGAAGGTGGATCATTAACTCTCCTACAGTAGTAGGGAGAAGTATTTGGATTCCAGTCCCAAACCACATTTCTATTGTTTCCGTCTAAAGAGCACACGGTTATTTCATTGGGTGCATTGAAATCTGCCTTGTGGAAGTTTTCAGCAAAAGTTTTACTGACGTCTGGTGATTTAATCACAGCAAGTTTAAAGTTTCTGTCACAGTTGATGGAACAGGATTTCATAAATTCAAGCCCGTGTGGACAATTGATCTGTGCAGGCATGCAGGCTGTTCCAAACTCGTCATGATATGCAGTTCGCGGGCATTGGCGTGGAATCAGCGGTAAACATGATTTAGGTAAACAATTCTTTGAGTTTATAGTTGATGGTTTATAACCAGGTAAACAATCACACCAATAACTACCATCTGTGTTTCTACAGTTGGAGTTGATACAACCACCATTTCCATTTTCACACTCGTTTATATCACCACATGATTCACCATCAGCTAAATGGAAGATTGGGTGATACAAAACTTATGTTTGAAGAATTACAAAGTAAAAATCCAATATCTCTATGCTAACTCGAAGCAAATTCAATTCCTTTCTTTATTCAATAGTACATTTTGTTGTAGCTAAAATCCTTTGCCAACTGGAACAAATTTCAATTTCAATTTTTAACGCTGAAGGATAAATCCTAACGGCTCAAATTTTGTAAGTCTTAAGTGTAAATTTGATTCAACCCGCAAGAATTTGAAAAATGATACGTGCAATACAGTTTCAAAAGTTCATCACGAACAAGTGGCTTAATTACGCAACTTTGATATTACTGATCTAGCAGTTCGTATTTATATTAAGAAGTACTTGTTTTTTAAAGTATTTAATCACTGCCGAATGATCTGTACATTTCTGAGTAAATTGTAAAGAATTAATGAAACTGCTAATCCTTTCGTAGTGACCTAATATACGAAATTGAAAAACACCCTCAATAACTCGAACACCCAAAAAATTAAATAATCATTACCTTCAAGTTTGTACCCAGGACGACTTACACAAGAACACGATCCATCAACAGGGTTACAAATGTCACCACACCCCCCGTTTGGTGAACCACATTGACGAGACTCCACTAAGTAAGGACAGAAAGAGCCTCCGTACGCAGGATACTTGATGATATGACGACGACGAGTAATTGTTCCAATACCACATTTTGTGCTACATGCACTAAATGGCGTCCATGCTGTACAAAGGGAAAAGAATATCATATCATTCACTGCATGGTTTATTGTTCAATTGTTGGCCAAAACTCATAAATTATACAAGACAACAAAGAATGACGTGTTAATGAAGACTGTACTGTAAAAACTGATGTTTCGGTTGAATCGAAAAATTAAGATCTACGTGGGTTTTGCTGATATGAAACTCTGGTAAGATGCAGAACACTTCTTAAGTTTCCAATATATACACTCCTCCTAAGCCATGTCATTTTTGAATTTTCATTGTCTAATAATTTATTCATGGTGAGTCATTTAGATTTCAACCTTTTCTTTCAACAAATATAAGCAACAAATGTGATTAGTAAACGTGACAGCATATGACTCAAGGAAAGAACAAAGACGAGCATGGAAGATGTAATGTAGATTAGAGCCTTAGCCTTAACCACTCAATTACGTACACAACATCGTACGATGTGATCGAACGATGAATGAGATATATTGCTCAACGAAGCATGAGATATATTGCTCGGGAAAACAGTGTCATGTTTAAATAATGAACAAATTAAGAGCTTATAAAAGGTTATTTCATTTTACTTGCAAAAAATCGCTAGAACGAAACGGAAAATTGAATATGACCGTTAATTTAAAACGAAAAACGATGAGCGTTTCCTAATTCCTGTAGATCTAAAGTGAAAGTAAATTATGTCAAATATCTTATCTGGACTGTGGAATACACAATATTATTAATGTGTATTTGTAAACTTCATTTTTCTGCCAGTGATTTATCGTCATCTATTATTACTTCTTTCATGCAAAATCAATGTGACACTAAGAGTTGTCGATCAAAAAATAATTAAACGATCAAGGAAATGCAACAAGAACGAGGATGCGCACATTATATGTTCCTCCGGTTTCAAATATCTCGTAATTTTCAAAATTGGTTTGTTTTAGCTAATCAAATAGACAAAACAATAGATAATTGCAACTAGGATAAACTACGTTCCTCTGATTTCTAAGGCATAGTGTATTTATATAGTCAAACACACCAAACACTTGACATCTTAAAACTAACATTTGAGCGCAATTTCGAATTGAATTTCAACATTAAACATTGGCATCCATGCTTGTTTAAATTAAACGATGAACAGAATAATCATACATACTAACCCACAATGTAGGAAGTTGCCTTGATATAAAGAAATTATAGGTACACTAAGTAATTCGTGTTGGTATACACAAAACATTTTCCTTCGTGTAAAATAAACACCCAAAAAGAAACTTACGTGAAACTCGACAGTTCACTGGTGAAGGAGGAGGTCGCCTTCTTCGTCTTCTTCGCCACCAATGCGATGAAACCAAGATGAAATGAAATATCAGAAGTAAATAAACAACGTGGAAGAAATATTTCAACAACATTATTATTCCACGGGAATTGTCGTCTTCACAGGTCAAGAATATTCTTTATATAAAATGAAAGGAGGTTAAGTTTTTAAGGCTTGGCCAGGTTATTGTCTTTTGTCTTTGACTGACTAAAAAAGCATTGGTTGAGAAATTTATGTTGTGTAACACAATTGCTAATGTTTAGTATTCATTGCAGTGTCATGAGTCAGAGTGGCTGTGTTATTCAAATTAGACATCCCACGCAATTTTAAATATTAAAGCAATATCATATTGGTGATTTGTTTTTAAATTATCCTAAAGTTCATTAAAATTTTGTATTTTCCGAGAATTTCGACCGAAAATACGACATCACAATGAACGAAATAACGAAAGAGGAAAATAAATCAGAACGCGTGAAGGGTAAAACAAAAAATAGTACAATTTAATGCCGCGCTATCTGTAGAGCAGATAGTGATGAATGAACAACAGAGAACGAGAACATTCTTTACACTTCTACTTGTAGCAAGGCTTTGATGTTCATATGTTATTAAAATGACCTGTACAACAGAATACGAGTTTTTAAATGTATGAGCTTTATTAGAGGGAAGAATCTCTAATGTTTTATGTTAAAATGACCATGACGAAAAACACGGCATATGTGTCAAAGCATGAGGAAATTCCTCAAACGGAGACTCCTCTGAAATGGCTTTGTCGACACAGCTGTAACTTCAAATAACCAAAAGAAATAACCTCTCTGAAGTGCTCAATGCGATTAAAAGGTTGACTTCAGGTGTGGTAATGTGAGGACAAAATTTGCATAAGTCCATATTTACTGAGAAAATTACTATGCGCCATCGCAGGTCAAATTCTGCATAAATTAATAAATACTCTTGGCAGAGATTGAATTTTCATATTTTGAAAGAAAAAATCACACGAGACCAAGATTATTTAAGTCTTCCAAGCATTTGTCCATCGTGTATGATCGTGTATCAACAAAACAATGTCAATATCTATTAAATAATGCATGATTAGTTTGAGTTAAGTGTTCTTTTACGTCTCATGTGATTTTTTCTTTGAAAATATGAAAATTACATCTCTGCCAAAAACATTTGTTAATTTATTCAAAATTGAAATTTGTCCACGGTAATTTTCTCAGTAAACATTAATCTTATGGAAAATTTTTACCTCTCAAAGTAATTCCTCCAAGCACTCTTTCTCTTGCTGTTTTTTCAAAAAATATTTTTACCATTTTTAACAAGGGTAATTTTCCAATACCTCTCTTCTCGCGAACAACTATAACAAAACTTTAACGGCTTTCGGCAGTTTCCAGTATTTTGAGCAAAGAGAGTTTAACCACGGATTACTGATATACAATATAGTAGATTAAATAAAAGTGCATTGAAAATAATCAGATTTACGTATGAATTTCCGAGTGGAATTCCTCAACGACATGGTAGCTGCATTGAGTGATTTTCATAACGCAACTTTAAATTTCCCATAAACGACCAATTTCAGGAATAATAGACGAGGTCATTTACTTCCCTACCTCAGCGAGATTATCGCCTCTGGATTCAGGTTTCTAGTTGTTATAACTAAAAATGCTCATATTAAATGATAATAACACAAAAATTTTAGAAATTTTTTTCATTATGGTACACATCCGTATTATAGATTTAAGACGCAATAAGCAGTATGTTTATTAAAAACGAAGTCACTGCTGGAGATTTTTTGTTTTACCACTGTGACTTTACCAAAAACGCATTTTAAAATGCATCAAAACAACTTTTCTAACAAATTAAACGAGAAATTAAGACGTGTATTAAACTAAACAGAATGTATTCTGTAATTCAAGATAATGCAAAGTTCACAAGGTCAGTGAGATCATATATCGCTTTTATTGTACTTAACCATTCATTTCCTCAAGGCCAAAACTTTCTCTAAAGCCTAAAGACGACATTATTTTGAAGAGTTTTGAATCTTCATATAATGCTGTCGATATCACTTGCATTATCCGTTTCGTTTTTGGCGTTCTGCGTGTCTTCGGCTCTGGGGGAAAAAGATGTCAAACTATACAAGCGTTCAGCGAAAAAAACCGGGCTTTCCAAATCATGTCAAGCCACAGGTAGGCTTTCAAAATGTTGAATATAAACATCATTTTCGGGACTAGAAATCAAATATTTGAAAGAATGAAAAACTTGATGTAAAATTTTCGTTGTGTGAAATACATAAATTAGTTAAAATTACATCACAGTCAACATAATTTTCGTCGTGCGCAAAGCCCGGAATAAAAAGATAAAGGAATTTGCTTTGAATGTAAAATTTAGATCTAATTGATTGTAGACAGATGCGTCCTTTTAGGGTAACGTTGCGTGAAATCGTCAGCGAGTTAATTTTTGATGAAAGAAATGTATAGACAAATTTTTGGCTGTTATTTTGGTTGTTATAATAGAGAATCGAAGATAGCTTAGATAAGGTCAAGTTAATTTATTCGATCATGAGAAACTTAGAACAAGAAGCTCCAACGCAGCTTTTTGCATTTCTTACCATAAAACTTAGTAGTAAACAACCATTATTTTACTTGCTTTCTTTACGATCTTCATTTCAAATCACTTCAGCTGTAATCTTAATTATTACAATTTAATATTATTCATGGGAATGATTTTATTGCATAAATTATAAAGGTCGGCCGTCAGTGAGAACTGTAGAGCTAACACCATCACCAAAAATGCGATTAAAGATGGCTCAAAGTCCGTAGGCTTAGATCGTCGTTTCATATTCATGCATATCTTAGCGTACACTTACATGAAGTGGAGTGAAACTTTGCCAATCGCTGGCCATGGATTTCGTAGTTCAACGGCAGATATTATAACTTGGTTACCAGAACGAACGGTTTATTTATAACCCTGAACCACCGTCAGCCAAATGATTCACTAATGTATATGTAATAATAATGACTTAGGAAATCAATCTGTACTCACCATATGCATATATACATGTTCACCAAAAAATTCTTTTAGTTCCCCTGCTTTCTTTTCATTTAAATATTTGGAAATAACAGAAAATCTTAGCTCTCAGTAGATCAGCACTGCCATTACATAATCCTCACTTAAGGCATAACAGTAAAATGTTATCTGAGACTCCAACTGTGACCTAACACGTAATGAAGCAACGATGTTAATATATGGTGTTAAATCATGACACGCTGTTATTGTTATTTCAACGTCTTTACTGGTAAAATCAACTGGTGTTTGTTAATAAAACAACTATCCAGTCGTTATTACAAGCGTCGGCATACAACTATTGCATTGAACTACTTATTTCTTGGAAGAGGGGTCGCTTTATGTAATTTTTTACAGAACGTTTCGTCATGTGTGTGGTTATCCTGAGTGTTATTTCAATTTGCAATTTTACAGACCTTAATGGGGATTTTTTCAAGGGTTGTAAAAAATGCGACTTTTCAATTCGATGACAACTTTCGAGCATACTCTCCATGATTGCGTCCATATAATCTTGCAAAAAAAAACATAAAAAGAACTCACTGTGAAAGTGGTGGGGACAGTGGCGTAACTAGAACGTTAATTGGGGGGGGTGCATGTTCATATATTCCCTTGTGCCCTACTGATTTCTTTTGAAGGTAATTTGAATTGCAAAAAAATCAGTAGGGCACAACTGAATATATGAATATACACCCCCCCCCCAATTACCGTTCTAGTTACGCCTCTGGGTGGGGATCTAGTGTAAGTTTTGTTTATAAATTACTAAAGAATATTGAAAGCAAAATCTTCCCAATAGGATTTGCTCTAATGTCTTTTAAAATGGAAATATGTTTTCAATAATTAATTCTGACCTACCTTGGATCTTCTACTGCGCTGTGAATCAAGTTAGACTAATTTTATTCTTTATCAACAATTTCTTTCACATTTGTTTCTACTAAAGTGTGAAATGAGACAATTTTTAAGATTATTATTTTGATTCGTTTACGCTTTGAGACGTCAACCGACTTACGCCAGAGATGTCTATTTGTCATGAAAGTCATAATTCAGATCGCGTCAAACCAATAGTCAAAAAATCATGGTTTTGCCATTGAAATGTTAGTCTTAGTTAAATCTTAACATTAATTGATCTTTGAATTATAGTGGATATACGGTTTTCAGTGCCCAATTTTGGAATTTTACTGTCCTTTTTCAGTTTTCAAATGTTATGTCACTTGAAAGATACGATTTAGACTGTAAAAAATAACGACATCTTTTCAATATGTTCCTTAATCGGCAAGGACTTGCAGAATACTGTGATAATGCATGGTTTTCCAAGTCATCATCTTCTAAGTTGTAAAACAATGTACTAAAACTAGACCTTTATGATATTTTAGATTGGTCAACGTGTTCCAAGTCATCACCTTCTAAGTTGTAAAACAATGTACTAAAACTAGACCTTTATGATATTTTAGATTGGTCAACGTGTTCCAAGTCATCACCTTCTAAGTTGTAAAACAATGTACTAAAACTAGACCTTTATGATATTTTAGATTGGTCAACGTGTTCCAAGTCATCACCTTCTAAGTTGTAAAACAATGTACTAAAACTAGACCTTTATGATATTTTAGATTGGTCAACGTGTTCCAAGTCATCACCTTCTAAGTTGTAAAACAATGTACTAAAACTAGACCTTTTTGACAATTTAGATTGGTCAACGTGTTCCAAGTCATCACCTTCTAAGTTGTAAAACAATGTACTAAAACTAGACCTTTTTGACAATTTAGATTGGTCAACGTGTTCCAAGTCATCACCTTCTAAGTTGTAAAACAATGTACTAAAACTAGACCTTTATGACATTTTAGATTGGTCAACGTGTTCCAAGTCATCACCTTCTAAGTTGTAAAACAATGTACTAAAACTAGACCTTTATGACATTTTAGATTGGTCAACGTGGAGCAGCTGTATGTTTTGTGATTTTTCTTCTGTAAGTAAACGAACACGAAAGGACGGTAAATGTTCAACGATTACAGAGACACGTCCTTGTAAAACTGGAGAATGTGAGCACAACTGTCATGAAGACAGTAAAACATGCAGTTGTCATTCTGGTTACGATTTAATTAATGGTAAGAATTTTATAAATCTTTTCTCACAGCAGTTATAACCCAATTTCTTAAAAACTTGCTGAACGAGTCTCAGTTCTCTGACTTTGAATTTCGTGGTTAGCTGCATGCTGCAACAGCACAGAGGGTGAAAGTTTGTATTCAAGTACTTAGCTTTCGTCCGCGGCAAAGTTTACCTAAACTCACAATGACATTTAACCACAGCAAGCAGTAAATATTTGCATGTTGTAATCACGTTGTACTAAATGAATGCTGATGGGATTTAGACTTAAATTTGCAAATGGCTAAATAAGAGCAAAGCTATCGAGAATAAGAAATACTTTTTTTCAAAAAACGCTAGAAAAGGACGTTCTGGGTGTTATTATTGATAAGATCGTAAGCTATGTAGAAGCACAAGGCATCTCTGTAATCTTAAAATGTACAAACGGGTTTTGTCTATCGTTCTTCTATACTGCATTTCTTTATTAATACACTGGCTGCAGAATTTTTAAAACATTGAAATAGACATTCCACTAGTCTAATTGTCTTCAATGTTTTTTTAACTAAACTACAAGATCAACTGTAGACTATGATGATATTTCATAACACAGTCCTAGTTTCGCTTTTCGATTCAGGGAGACCCAACCACCAGTTTATTTGTTTTGTAATGATTTACCACTACCTTGTGAGGAACAAAATAATCTTTTATGTTGTAGGTAAGAATTGTGAAAACATCAACGAATGTCGAACAAAAGGTGGTCGAGGTCCTTGCAGCCAATACTGTCAGGATGAACCTGGTTCTTACAAATGTTTTTGCAAAAAAGGTTACCGTTTGAAATATTCAACCAAATGCGAATTACTTGATTGTGGGAAGCCGCAATTTTCAAACTGTCCCCCAGTTACACAGCCCACTGCAGAAGAAGATCACCTCAATATATGCAGCAAAGTGAACGTGTCATGTTTAAATGGCACTAAATACAATGCCGAGTGCTTTTTATCCTGTCCTAAGTACTATAAACTTGCTTTAAAGCGGCGAACAATAAAATGGTCAGATTACTCCAGATTTGAATTTCCTAATGCAAGCAGCAAAATCATTTGCCACCATCTAACACCAAGTATAGGTAAGTGGCATTCCCGAATAGACGACTATTACTGCAGGCGTAGCAATGATCCACCAATGGAAATCAAGCTTGTCGGCACAAGTGTCAAAGAAAAACTTCCACCGGGGAGTGTGGTTGGGAAACTAAGTACGAGAGATGAACAGCTCGACCAAGACATGATCTATTCTGTGCGGAACAGTTCTTATTTTAGATGTAATGGTTCCATTCTTGTTACCATGGTAACACTCTTATGGGAGGCAAGTCAGTACAACTCGTATGCGGTTTTCATCCGAGTGCAAGACAACGGTATGCCATCGATGTGGCGGGAAAAGAAGTTTTTAATTTACGTTGAAAACGTCAACGATGTCCCACGTGATATTGAGATTTCTAGGAATTGGGTTTACGAGAATGCCACGCGTGGGGCAACTGTGGGAGTTTTGAGTGCTATTGACGACGATTTAGGAAATTATAGAACGTCAAACTTTTCATGGAAATTATTGAAAGATAAGACAGATAGTTTTAATATCAGTGGAAGCAATGTCATAGTAGGAAGAAAATTGAATTATGATGTCGCAAAACTGTTTTACATAAAGGTTTCTTGTTCAGATGGTTTTTCATCGACTGTTCAAAATATCCCCATTTATGTTATAGAAAGACCAACATTAACTTTAACTGGATCTCATATAGCAGAGAATTCGGAAAGGGGAACCGTTGTTACAATGATTAAAGTTGAATCTGAAGGTGACAGAGATATGAAAGTAATGATAACAGAATCAACTCCTAATGCAACGCATAAACTTAAACTAAATCCCGATCCAAGATGCGTACGTCACATCAAAATCATTAAATACAAAACGACATGCTATGCAAACATTACGGTCAGTGGTCAATTGGATTACGAGGTCGCGAATGGTTACTTATTACAGATTTACGTCACAGATGGCGTCCTCAGTAATTTTGCAAAATGGAATATAAGCGTGTTGAACATGAATGAAAAGCCAACGGAACTAGAAATAAATGGTTTACAAGAAATAGCAGAGAATACGATAGGTGGGACTGATATTGGGTTTTTAATGGTGAGTGTAATCATTGCTGAGCTTTTTAATCTACGTATGACAAGCCAGTTCATCTTGATAAAAACTTAGCAAATGAAGTTAATGTAAAATTTGTCATATGGTTATGGGCATTGCACGAGACCTTTGTCAGTACACGAGACCTACGGCAGTATATGAGACCACAGCAGTACACGTGACTTACATTAGTACTTGAGACCTATGGAAGTACACGTGACCTACGTCAGTTCACAAAACCTAGGGCAGTACATGTGGCATAAGGGGCAGTATACATGAACTACAGCAGTTCACGTGATAGTACCACTAATCTACAGATAGACATAACTTTACAGATTTTAGAGGCTTAAAAGGTTCATCCCGATAGAATTTTAAACATGAAATTTACTTTTGTTTCCCACTGTAGAAAATTGATATAAACTTATGACCTAAAAAACCCACTTAAGGAAGTAATGTGTTTTTATTTTTTTGAAACTTACCAAGAAAGTTAATAAAAATGTTTTTCAGATTTCGGATCCAGACAACAAGAACAAAATAACTCAAACACATTTCTGTAGGATCACCAACAACGGCAGCGATGGGAAATATTTTCATATCGAAAGTCCACGAAATTCTCTACAGATAAAGAAAAATAAATTTTTAAATTATGAAGCACAACAATCGTACAAGATCGTGATAAAATGTGAAGATAGCGGATTTCCACCATTGAGTATAACTCGTGAATTTACTATCAATGTTACAGGTACGATAATTATTTTAGGATGATATATTTCAACATACGGGAACTGATGAATATTTTATAAGATGGATGCTGACATGATTCACGAATCCCTGCATTGTCCTAGCAAACCCCCTCCGACCTTATACTCTTTGAATTACTAGATTATTATTAGTTTCTTTGAAAATTAATTCCATTCATTGTTTCTAATTATTTAACAAAAAAATATTTGCATTATATGAGAAAAACACGAGCTACCTTTGCTACTGGGCTTGTTTGAAAATTCTTGTATAATCAAAAGTACCATCACAGTTGGATACTTAAGGCAATCCTTTCTTCTCTTGTCATAATAACATAAGCTTTAATTTAGCTGAATACCCCAAAAAATCCACAGTCATGCACATGTAAAAATTTAAAAGCAACAAGAGTAACTATAAAAGCATTTTCCCTTCATTATAGACATGGATGAACCCATTGAGAATCTCACTCTTTCAAATAACAGAGTTTTGGAGAATTCAGATGTTGGTGCAGTTATAGGAATCTTAGCCGCCCATGATCCCGACGCACACGACGATACATCAATAGCATTCGCTATAATTCACCCTACGTATTCACCATTTTTCCTTAGAGGAAAAAACAATGAAATTTTGGTCGTCAACGGATCTTTGAATTATGAAGAAAACTCTGATTACGTCATTACAATAGGAGTGACCGATTCTCAAGATAGATATTTTCAAGCACCTTTTGTCATCCACATTGTTGGTAGGTCATGGGATTATTTTGTTAATTCTTCATGTAAGACACGGCATTCTGATGATTTTTATAAGTACTTGACCATGATGATAAGGGCAAGCATTTAAAATTATAGGTTGTAAATTGTTCATTTTGTTGTCTTTCAGAAATTCTTATCAAAATTTGTTTTAACGTGTCCAGAAAGAAATCAATGAAACACGTGAAAGTTTTTTGTTAAATGAAACCATGAAATATAATTAACCCAAATTTAATAATGGATAAAAAATCATCCATAATTACAGAGTTAATAATTATTGGTAGAATCGAATTTTTTAAATCATTTATAAAGACTACAATTTATCCCTGAATGTCAAAGCTAAAAAATTTCTGTTTTCATACTCAGATGTGCCAGAAACGCCAACAGACATTATTATGGACAGACATTTCATGAAAGAGAATTTAGAGACTGGTTCGCCCATCAGCAACATAACGATGATCGATGAAGACAGCAACACGATTACGACGTGTATTTTGGTAAAAGATGGCGATGGCAGGATCGCAGTGAATCGGACATATTTAGTCGCAGGAAACGTGAATACAGATTATGAAGAAGATGCAACACATATGATCGAAATTACGGTCAAATGTTGTGATCAAGACAAACTTTGCTTGACAAAAGATTTCAATATATCAATTCGAGGTATAAAAGTCAATTTTATTTTGCTGTAGGCGAAATTCGTAAAATTTGTTACTAATACTTTCTGTCACGTAGATTCGCGCATAGATTGGAGATTTCAAGTAAAATCAGTGAGCATTGTGCTTTTTGTAAATGAGTAATAAAGATGCAATTGACTACCTACGGTAACATGAAGGCATATTTAACAGCGCACATTTCTAGTTCATAAACATAGCTATTAATTTTAAACACAACGATTTTTATGATCCAGACATTTTTTGATCAACGACTTTAAAACAGTAAAACACGACTTGAAGGACGTCATCATGTCAATATATAAAATAATAACAATAAAATTCTTGCGCTGATTGGTCTACAGCTGAGTTTGGATTAGCCTGTTGAAATCAATCTAAGCTCAATCAAGTAAATCAATCAAAGAGAATTTGAAGATCAATCATGAATGCATGTTGTGAAAGAAATAAAAGATGTTTCTCGCGGCTTATGCAAACTTGGAGACGTACGTTTGTGAAAACTCCCGACCTTTTTTCTCAGGCTTGCACTGATCTGCTCTCGAGTTCTTCCATAGGTCTCCTCAGTTTGCGCAAGCCTGTGCAAACACAGTAAACATCTTTTATTTCTCAAATACTTAATTCTTCAAGTCTTCATTCAAATTTGTGAGAAACGAAAGTTGGCAGATGTATAAAAGACCAACTTCAAGAGAAGTTATATTTTATTTACAGATGTGAATGAACCACCAAAAGATATTATCATCACAAGCAACTTAAGAGTTCCAGAGGAGAAGAAAAACGTCACAATAGGTCAGATAACAACGGTAGATGCCGACATCAATCCACAATACAATTGTATTGTAATTTCCAGTATTAAGGAGGCATTGTCTATCGATAGCGATAACCAAACACTACGTTTGAAGAAAAAACTAAACTTTGAAAAAAATTCATTTGTCTTATTTGAAATCACGTGCACCAACAGAGACTCCATGCCGTACACTAAACAATTCACGTTGAACGTCACGGATGTAAATGAAACACCAAAATCGGGATGTTTGAAACACATCTTTGTTTCGAATAACCATTCGAATGGAAGTGTTCTAGCTAGTTTGAATGTTACAGATCCCGATAATGAATATCCAAAAGATATTTGTAAACCCAAGCAGCGTTTAACATATAGAGAAATCTCTGAAAGCCCGTTACCATTTGACATAATTGATGGATATTTAGTTAAAACAGGAGAACTTGAGAAAAACAGAACTTATGTTTTATGGATTTCCGTTTATGATGACGGAGTTTTGTTAAATTCATCTTCATCTTTGATCATGTCGGAAAGGAAAGAAATTAAGTTTAATTGTACCATAACTTGTCAAGACGCAAGTGACGAGATGATTACTTTATCATCAAATGAAATCAAAGAAGGAGCGCTCAATTTTACCACCGTCGGATATTTATACATGGGACATACGCATGCGCTCAACACAACATTCAAGTTGATAAAGAACAAGTGTGATGCAAGTCCCTTCTATATAAATACCAATCAGCTGAGGTTGCGTTTGCCATGGAAAAGGAAGATTTCATTTGAGGATACGCAGACTGTGCCGAAATATTTTCACATCAAAATACGAGAGAAAGGATCTCAACGAGAAGAAATGTTTATCATATTTGTGAAAGGTAAAACTGAAGCATGCCCATACGTTACATTAACGCTTTTACACACCAACATCTTTATAACATCAAGCTTTAATCTTTAAAACATCTACACATTACATTGATACATTTCCAAACATCAATATTTTCACGTGCTACATTAACATGTTCACACGTCATGGGAGCATTTAGCGTTAATCTTAACAACTTTTATCTTCATAACATGTTCACACGTTACACCAACATTTTTACACGTAACACCAAAATCGTCACACGTTACACCAACAGTTTTACACGTAAACCAACATCTTCACACGTTACATTAACTTCTACACACGTTCATACCTTATACAGCTCAAAAATTGGAGATTTCATTTTACAGTAGTAATGAGTATTCCTCGTTTTTTCTTTCTAACGTTTTACTTTATAACTAAATACTTTACTTCATTCTTATACTGAAGATGACTTAATATAAGTCGATCGAAACATGTTTAAAATAAGAAGTTTTGTCGTTTATTTTAAATGCTTAAGTTTTCAATAGCATTGTAACTTTTTATAATGTACCTGCTTTAAAATCTTCAAAATTTGTAACAACATTTACACATTACATTGACATGTTAACATTTATATCTTTTACACAGTTCAAGGACACTCGGGCACTATATATTTATTCAATACCACCAAAACACTTCACCAACATCTTTACATCGGAGTTTACGTGATTATCATTCGTATTATATCTGTAAATCTATGTATTCTCGTTATTTTAAGAGAATAAAGACAAAAGATATGGCATATGTCCAACAAAAGTAGAAATTGAAATATCAAAGACTATCAACAGACGCTTTAAGCTTGTCGCCATTCAAAATATCAATGGATCACTAGAGAAATGTAACAACAATAGCAACAATAGTCGCACGTTATCCTACCAATGTACAACAAAACTCAACTTAAAAAAGCTCAAAGATTTTGGCGAGGTTTCACTAAATCATACAATCACAGTTGACAAAGATTTGTTCATGACTATAAACATCAAAACAGAGAAGCAACTAAATGTAAAGGATTATGCTTTCATTGATATCATCTGCTCCGAGCCAAAGAGATTTATTTCATACGTGAAAGGATCCGTCAGAGTGTCTTGCATTCAACGCCAACAATGTGAAATGCATCGTCTTAAAACAGAGGAGAGTCTGTGTGTGGAGAAAGCTTGCCCAGAGGACAGCATTTGTTCAAAGCTTGAGAATGCTGAAAAAAGATGCGTGCCTAACGAAATGCAACTATATATAGTTGTGTTATCAATGAAAGAGAATTCCAGAAAGCTTTGTAAGCTGAAGCGCTGTCTTCAACAAATCCTCGATGATACCAAATCAGAATGTTTATCAACGTGGAGAGGTAAGTTGTTTTAATAAGGCATTTCTTTTGTAATCCGAACTCATTTTATTTGTTCCTACCTGCACACAGCCAAATGTTACGCAACTTGATTAAATTTGATTATTTAAACAACATGATGAGTTTCATTTTTTTACTCAGTTTGTTTACACGTTGTTGTATTGTAATCAGGTATTGTAAAGAGATAATCATTGTCTTCAATCTTCTATTAAATGAACCACGAGTTATACAACACAGTTCTAGATTCTTTCTTATCTTAATATCATAAATAGTGATATCAAGTTATCTTAGCCTCTTCGAATTCTTAAAATGATTCATAATGTGATTCAAATTTTCAACGATTTTCTATAGCTGAACGTCGTGAAAAACGCGAAGTGCGTACCCGTATGTACCTAAATATCCTAAGCACAACCAAGATTAAAGATGAGAATGTCTTACTTAAAGCAGCCATTTGGGAAAAGGACGTAAACAACAAACTTATATTAGTTTCACCAGACCGTCTTCCAAAGTTCCCGGATACTGATGACGTCAAGCTCATAACACCGAAAGAATGTGACCTTTTGAAAAACTTTGATATAAAATGTCCTAGCAGCAATTTGACAAATAGCTCCATGGGGAAAAGATCAAAAATCTCATTGCATTCAATAAAAATCAGAGTAATAGTTGGATTGGTTTGTTCCATACTACTTGTTAGTATTGTGATTGCTGTCTTCTACTGCCTTTATAAGCGACGTGTGTTTAAACAACGTATACAAAAGAAAAAGGTATGGACAAGAAATTTCCATGATTTATATATTTATATAAAGATTACAATTACATCAATTACATAAAAATCAATACGATTGAAATGAAGTCAACTGTATATTAATTTTACAGCTAAATAATTGAATAAATGTGTAATTTATCTATAATGCAGTAAAACGCTCATTGATATAAAATTTTTAATAAACAAGCTTTCGATTGTCTGTCTACAGCCTTCGACGGGTTAAAAATTTTATATCAGTGAGCGTTTTACTGCATTATGTATAATCCTGATTTCGGATTACGCATTTTTCTATGTGTAATTTATCATTTATATAATTTATTAATCATTTTATTCATTTTTAATAATTACTAATTATATCATATGATTAATTGATTATTTTTAATTTATATAGTTGTTATCTGGTTCATACAAATACGGCTAGCATAACGTTTACTCCTCACTTGACTATGACGATGACTACCGCTTAGGTTGTCAAAACTTCAGTCAACATCAACAACAAAAACAGTCTTTCTCAGGACTCTACTAACCTGGACGATCTTCATCCACAAACATGTAACGATAATCCTGGGTTTAAATCACTTACTTTGTTAATTTATATAACTATAGTTGTATATCCACTGTAAAAACTGATTGGTTAAAATAGACATAAAAATTGGTTACCTCAGATGCATTTAACCACTTTAACCAATATTTTTATGTTTACTTTAATCAATCATATGGTTTAAACAATCAGTTTTTACAGTGTCTGGTTTTCTCCAATTTAAACAACTAACTTTTATTGAAACTTGATTTAGGTGAATCAAAATCAATCTGCGCACCACTTCTCTAATGCAGGATTTGATGGCTTACCACTGAACCAGTTTCCTGTTATTGTACAAGAATCAACCACAGATGATATGACGGTAAAGATAGAAGACCTTAACTTTTATTTTAATGCCTGAATTTCGTATATAAGTAAGGAAAATAAGGCCTAACTACTGTTAATTCAAACTAATTTTTATTCAACTGAGTTAACTACGTGGATAAATCAAACTCTAACAGGAAAAACACAACTGTTAACAACAAAATGTTTTGTTGAAAAGTGATTAAGGGATTTATATAACCACCTCCAGATCTCTGCGAGCTATTAGAAGCAATAATCTTGCATACTGATTATTTTCAATATATAACTAATTCAAACAGAAATTTTTCTCAAAGTGCATGTACTCAACCATACAGACCAACGAAAGAACAACTTCTCTTCACTTTATTTGATATAGACGAAGGATTGCAGTGTTAACAATCCACTCAACAATAATACAGTTGATGTTGAGAAAATTAAAAACGAAGGAGATGACAGCCATTTGTATCAAGAAACACAAAACAATCCTTCATTCGGAAAATATGAAACACCAGATTTTTCCGAGACCAAAAATCAAGAAAAGTTTACAACCCCACAGGTAGAGGTTGCACAAAATGTTAAGCAAATATTGAACTTTACAGTTTAAAGTTAGACATAACACAAACGATCAACATCGTAGTTGGTGCATATGGTGTGATCAATTTAGTCAATGTAGAAGAAATTTTTTGTTTGTTAAGCTTTTGAATTGACATAAGTTGACAGTGTTGTAGACAATATGCTACAGCATAATTTACTCTTAAAAATGTTACCAAGGAAAAAGTTCACATATGGTTGTTTACAAATTGTTGTTTACACTTAGCTGTTTACAAATAGTTGTTTACACATAGCTGTTTACACATAGTTGTTTACACATAGTTGTTTACAAATAGTTTTTTACACATAGTTGTTTACACATAGTTGTTTGCACATTCTCGAAAAGAGACTTGCACGCTCACTAGAAATTTCCGACTGCATGTCGTGTAACAGTATAGTTAGCAAAAATTTGTCAAGTTGTCGAATGGTTTCTGTCATAATTTCTAATCTCCGGAAGTTAATCTGTATTTTATTTGGTTCAGGAGTAGGTAATTCTTTACTATAAGATACTTTTTAAAAAATATGGTGGCCAGTTAAATCATTCACCTAAACGGTATCCATGTAAACATGTGCGTTCACTGAGACAGAGTAACAATTTGAAATAATCTGTTCAAAGAAAGTAAAACATCTCGTCTTATAATGTTGTTCAATATATTTTTCTCAAACCAGACAACGTTTTATTTACACGAGTTTTAACTCAAAAACACACTTTCCAATATTAGCTGACAGATTTTATTGCCATATTTAAAACAAACGTTTACAATATTTAAAACACGTGTTTGCTTTATTTTAGGTTGTTTCTAATCCATTTTATGAAGCAAATGATATCATACAAGTCCGAAATACTAATGAATATATGAATGCAAGCGATACAAGTATGTAACCAGAAATAGAATCTATGTATATTAAATCAATAGGATTTACTATTTAAACGAAAATTCGTTTAAATTGACCTACTAATGGTAATCAAATGCATGCATGCTGTTTTATTTTAGACTTTCGTTATTCAAATAAAAATGGAACAAGAAATGATGGTTATTATGAAACCATTTCAAACCAAAAGAAGAGATGGCTTAATTTTTCCAAGTATAAGAACTCAAAGAAGAATAAAAACATTCACAAGAACACAAACCGACAAAAAACAGAGAGCGATGTTGGTTCAAAAGATAATGGAAGGTCTAACGACGCCAGGTATGAATCACTACCTTTACCAAATAAAAGACAAATTAATGAATGGAAAATGAGGATACAACAGGGGATACTGAATGATAGCTTTAAACCACAAGAGACAATTAAAGGATCAACGCAGACTCTCAGATCAAATTTATTGAACCCACGGGAAAGGTCAAAACAAGATGAGCAAGCTAACAAATACCCATTTTACGAGGAGGTAGCACCACCTGTGAAGAATCGTAAAGATTCAAAGAAATCGCATAGTGCAAATGACAGTGAGTCTTCATCTCCTTATTACCATGAACTTGAACAAACAAAAATTGAAAGTGATCAAAAGGACAAGACAATCGATGATGGCCCTGAATACTTTGTGCTGGAAAAGGTTTGATGAGACATCCTTTGATATTTTTTAGTAAGAACATCTTGTTAAGGCTTTCTTTTCCGATAACAACAACAAGATTTTTACTGAAGTTATCTTGAAGAAAGGATAAGAAAAAATAAATTCATGAACCATTATCTCTTTCAATGTACGCTTCATGATTTTGTACCTCTACACAGTTAATATTTCCATGCTCATTCAATTGATGAACAATGAATTAAACTATAGAAATAAATAATAATTTTCATGAAAAATCGACATTGTATGGGAAAACCGTCTGGGGAGGCTTGGCCATTGTCTGCAAGCATTGAAAGTTAAAGTAACTCGAAAGTCTCGCGATTTTACAGTTTTCTTCTTTCTTGCTTCAAGCAAAAGTGATTTACGATACAATTGACAAATAAAACCTCAGAATACTCTTTACATTTCAACTTAAATAGTTCAAATACCCACGCATTTAATGCAAGCACGCGTTCACTGATCAAAATACGGGAATGTTTAAAACCATGAAAGTCTAGTTTTCACTAGTGACATAAACACAAGCAAAAAAAACAAAGCAAAGCATATTCTCCAGTGGTTAGAGGAAACAAAAGAAAAGAGATCTTCTTTTCAATTTGTTTTTGTTTTACCTTATGTTTATGTCAAGTTGCTGTTCTTATGCTTATGCTGATGCTTGTGTCAGTCACTTCATTGTCTTCTTTTGTACTTTCTTTTCTTTTTATTTCTCCTTTTGCTTATGTCGAGAGTGAAAACTACGCTTAAATGGCTTACCTCTTTCAAAAACAGACGCCTGGACTTATTCATCTATCTTTGAAATAGATCTATGTGATTTTAAACGATACTTTTTCTATCTACAGATTGATTCTACGAGCAAAGTCAGCAAATATTATCAATCGCTGCACAGAGAACTAGAAGGGCCACTTCCCGCGTATGAACCGTACAGACCACCTGAGGCATCGGACAAGTCGGAATCAGGCGATCAGGTAGAGAACAATAATGACGTGAAGACATAGAGTGTGAAACACCGATATTTTCTGTTTCTATCATTATCTTTGGCATTGAAGAATTGATTGCTCTATACTGGGTGTATAAAATAACTCCGATCCTTTAAAATCACTTGAGAACAGTATGGTGAATATAGATGAGAGCCACTCATTGGAGCCTATCCATTGAATTTTTTGGTGACCCGCATATTTTAGTACGCATGTGATTACCATAGCGGCAGCCAATCAATTGCTTTTTTTTGACCAATACGAAAAATTAAATGGCAAACGGCAGCCATTAATCTTATTAAATATACAGCAGCCAGTTGCACACAACTCTAATTGCGACTCGATGTATAGTCCCTGTATTGCGACTCGAGTTTAGAATTTCCATGATTCTGCAGAAATTAATCCCCAAAGAAATCATTTTCATTCTTGAGATTTGCAAAGTGTGGTAGCCGCAGTTAAGTCATATGTTTTGTGAGTAAACTGTGCGAGTTTCATTGTCAAAATTTAGCGCAATAAATGCTCGTATTTCTGCATTCAGTTAAAGAATTTGTGAGCGAAATGATTGTTAAACTACCTTGTAGAATATTCACTGCGTTGTTTTAATTTACTCAACGTAGGAAAGAAGAACGTACTTTTCAATCCCACGAGTATAAAAAGTGTCCCTAGCATTGTACCATGATAACTGCCGTGGCTGTTTTGCGATTTATAAGATTGCTGTTTTTTTATACATCCTATAGAAATAGCTGGTTTTATGAAGTTGTGTTTGAATAAGATGATACTCCGACTGTTACTTAGCATTTTTACGTTTATAATTCATAATTTTTTACATTTTAGCATAGTTTTCAATGTTTTTTAAGCGACGATATTCATACCATAAACCAACGTAGTTATCAATCAATGTATTTTTTCTTCATGCACGTTTTAAAAATAAACAATTTAAGTGAGAAAGCTAGATGAAATCAAACTTTTCGATGCTGTAAACTTCCGACCAAAAGCCTAAAAATAACCTTTCTTCAGCAGTTTTTAAATGTTTCATACAAGGAGTTGATGATTTACGTATATGAGCCTGGTATCTTATGGTCAGAGGCTTACAGTATCTTATTCATTGGCTATATATTTAATTGATATTGTCAAGATAACAATGTAGTGATGTCGCTTGTTATAGTATCCATCTTTTTCCGCGCCTAGAATAATCACCATTAATTTCGTAATTAATTTTATAAAAACGATAAGAAAAATAATTAAAATTATTTATAATTATTTATGTAAGAAGTGAGTTATACCTTCTACAGTTGTAACGATCATTCACTTGCTCTCTGTCAGAAACGCTAATATACTGATTCAATATCAAAGGGTTCTGTCAAAAAATAAGCGCAGTATTTTTAAACACATGTAGTTTTTGACGCGTAGCTATAGAAGATTAAATTACATACAGTGTGATTCAATAACAAAGTGCATAATAAAACTCAAGTTTAATAAGAAATAAATTTCTTGACTTTGCGACAAATTTTGCTATAAACTACAGCGTTAAAAAGCAGCGTGTTCCCCAATGTACGTCACGTCGGTGAACTAGATCCAGTCCCAGCACCTCACGGTCAAACACGGAGAAAACCAACTTTGAGGCTCAAAAAGTAAAGGAAGATCGAATTTTCGTCTTATAAAATATATTGCAAATGTTCTTAAAATAGTCAACTCTATCTAAATAGATAATTTCCCTGAGGGTGATATAGGCACTTTAACTTGATGAGGAGGGGAGAGGGTCGCATATTCTTATATTTAACATAGAGCAGTAATCATAAGTTGTTTCGAGCTGTACATTTTCCCATTTAATACAAGGATAGATTTTCAACGTTGATTAAGGAATTGATGAAATTTAATTTACAAAATATGCAGTGCGTAGCCAGCCCGCAAGTTTTGGTCCTGCTATGTAAATTTTATATCATTAACATTATTCATTTCTTTATAAATCTGATGTTTTTACAGTGAGTGATCACAAAGCATTAACGTAGCAGGACACCAAATTCGCGTGCTGGCTACGAAACTGAAAATATGCAAGCGAACCCTTGGATCTAAGGACTGGATCGTGTCTTTTCCATTACGGCTGAACATTTTTGGTCCATAATGCATTAAGCTTTTAAGATCGTAGGGATGGCCAAGAGAATTTATCGGATATTTTTTGAATTCCGTTTCGTAGCCTAAATTAGAGCAAATTGTTTATAGATGTTATAGTGGAAGCAGAAAAATTTCTCATATATGTATAGTATATAATACAACATATAATATATAATTAAATATTATGTAAATATGCCATATATATACATATATATATATAGGAAATTTATATGTGATGATTCTCCGTATAAAACAGTGCTCGATGCCCGAGAGCAGAGCGTAAATTTACCGGGATACAGGGATGAATTTGTAGTGTTCGTGATTTTTTTCACCATCACTACATATACATATATACATGATATACCTATATATGCCAGATATATACCTATTTATACATGATATACCTGTATATACCTGGTATTATATTATCCCAAAGAATTTTGACATGATCATCTCGATCAGGTCGTGAATGTTCATGGTAAAATCCAATAACGTGACCTTAAAAATATTGGTGAACAAAAGACCGCGTGAAAAAACGTTACACTAGGGCGTTTATTCGAGGTGGGCGCTTATTCGAGGTGGGCGCTTATTCAACGTCGATGGCCGTATTTGATGAATACGCTACAACTATTATGAAAAACTCAATACTTTATCGACTGCATTTGCAATGATTACTTTTGTAAAAACTGAATGATTTACAATTTTCATTATGAAATAAAATCTCGTATGTGTATAACATGATTTTCGTTTTCTCTTCCTCTCAGTTGTTTCACGTTGTCCAACTTTAAAAGCGATAATTCTTTCGAGACTCGCAGAGAATGAGATAAGTTTTGGGAGCAATTAACGTTGAAGACCTTACCAAGTTCATGAAGAATGATGAGTCGCCAAAAACATCCGGGAGCTAGGTTAACCAAGTGAGGAGACGGAACAGGTCTTCTTGGTCTTTTATAACCAACTTTGGTGTAACACCTTGTAATGAAAGAATAAAAATTTTATAAAATGGCAATAATTTCCATTGACATCATACACAAACAAACCCAAAGTTGTTTTTGGTGCGTATGTCTAAGTAAACCAATCCATGTTTAGATTTATCATAAGGAACGAAGGAGAGACAAGTCCCATTCTCCCATTCTCTCATTGAGCTTTCAATCAAACTTTTATAACCTATATAATCAACAAATGATTCCATCATAAGGAGGAATTCATTACTTGACAACAGCAATGAAAATTTTTTTTATAACTGGTTCCTAAAAACTTACATTCAAAATTTCATTTGTGTATTCGGGTAAAATAACAAAATAATAATTATATTTATTCAAATAAGCCATCACAAAAAGTTGATAATGTAATGAACAATATTCAACAGCACTAAGTATTAACACAACATACTTGAAAGAGCAGGATGAATGACGTATGGAATAATTCCGTTTGGCCAAATTGAACCCAGCGTCAAGCCCCGTCTCCTATTGGTCAGTTGTGTGGAAAAATCTGAACCAATCACAACCTTTCCGTTTACTCGAGGTTCTACCAATATATCTCCTTCGATGAGCTTTGATATAATAGTTTGCTTCAAATCGATGTTTTCTGAACAAAAACAATGTATCGAAATAAAACAAGCTGAAAATGAGAACAAGCTTGGTATCTATTGTCAGACTATCGTTTTAGTCTTTCCAAGTAAACTTTCACAACGACATTATCACTAGCAGGCCATTCAGCTAGCTTTTTGCCATTTTTGTCAGTTGTCATTAAATTAAAAATTGATCCTTTCCCGTGATATTTCGTCGCATAGCGTTGCGCTGTTCAGTCTAAATTTATATTTGTGATTTATTTAATAGTTATTTGCAAACTTAAAGTTTTGTACGAACTGATTGCTATGTGATGAGGAGCGAAAGACAACATGTGTACATTATTTGTATAACGTGTGCCGTGATTGGTCTATAGCTGAGTTTGCATTAGCCTGTGCAAACTGATCTGAGCTCAACAATTAAATCAATTAAAGAGAATTTGCAAATTAATCGTGAATTCATTTTAGAGGAAAAATTTAAAACATTTGTTTTAATTTTATCTTTTTCGCAGTTTTGCCATTCTTTAAAAAAAATAAAAGATGTTTTTCGTGACAACTCTCAAGCAGGATGTACAGTTTTCATCACTACAAGTAGTCCTTTATAGTTTTTTGTCGTGTGTATTTGCTAGTAAATGGAGCCAATGAACAATAAATCGCTGACAAAAGTTTGCTCAATAATTATAGCAATCATAATTTAAGTGAAAATCTTAATAACTTTTATTTTTAAGAGGAAAACTTTTTACTACAAATGTAACGCTATAGCAAATACGTGGAAGAGCAAAAAAGAAATTTCATAATGAAGTAAAAGCAAATCGAGAGAATTCCGGGGTTGTATTAAATTGTAAAAATTACCCTTGACAATTCCTTGGCGCGTTGTGCGAGGAATATAGCACTACTATTGTTCTTCATTGTAAAACTGCGCATGACCATAATGAAACAATAACATACCTTCAGGAAAGCCATGAAATTCAGTTGCAAGTTTTCCATCACAAAGTATGATAAAACACAAAGTCAGAAGAATTGCTGTCGAGTATTTCATTGTATACAATCTAGTAAAGGTTTATCAGTAGAAGTGTCTGCTTTCGGTGTCCTAACTGCCACTGATTGTGGATTTCTTATGCAACTATAATCATAATGACTACGGCGAATAATATTTGTTTAGCCCACTATCATCATTAAAAATGAGATGCCTGAGAAAACAAAGTATAATTAGCCACACAAAATATCAACAATGCTATATTGAACTAATTTACAATGATATGTTGTTTGGACGAGTGTCTATTTTGAGGTTGAAACTTATGTTGCAAATATTTAATTTTGTCGATATTTTTAGCGACTAAATTTTGTGCAGTGAATAACAGTGATTACTAACATCTTAGAAAACGATAATTTATTGGAGCGTTCGCCTTAAAATAATTAAGTGTCTGCATAGTTCAAAACATTCTACTGCAACGTTAGCCAAATACAGTATAGAAATGTTATAAAATGAATATCAGACTTCTTTTATCTAATGTTTAACTCTTTTCCTTAAGCTCGCGCTTGTGTCAATGTTTATATCACATGCTTTGTAGATTGTCTTTGTTTGATCTTTTGTCTTTTTTTGTGAGTGCTTATGCTTATTTTATTCGTGTGAACTAGACATAAAAAACTTATGTCTTGTGTGTTTGTCAAATTATGTTTCCATGGTAAGATTCAATAATCTTTATGCTAGTTTTTGATGCAAAAAAGATTTTGACGATAAAGTGATCGAAATGTTAAATGTTGGTTGAAGTTTATAAAGCATCGACAATGGCAACAAATCAAGAGTATCTCTTTAATGCTTTTATGGCCTTGTTAAAGTCGCGTACGTCGTTTCGCATTTCATCTATTATAAGTAAACACGTGCATTCTGGGATACTATATCAGTATCCCTCATCCACTGTATTTGAGGGAAATATTTCAGTAAACGTCATTGTGAGAACAAAAGTTCCTAAGGGATATTTACTTCTTACATAAGATAAATAACAACTGTTTGATGTTTATGCATGAAGAAATTCCTCCTTTCTCTTCTCTCCTTTGCTATTGTCATTCATGTAGTGATAGCATAGCATATACCTTTCTTCCTTCTAAGTTAAACATTTGTTATTTTTACATAAAGATAACTGTCATCATAGTGGGAGAAAATAGTTAAACATGTGGGTGTTTAACACTCGAAAAGTACTGTTGTATCTTGTGAAATGATTGTGCTTTAAAATTTTGCAGCTGCTCCAATCTCGTCGATTTAAATATTGCTTTCGCCATTTGAATCATTAAATAGTTCGTTTGGTCTCCTATGCAATGCTGTCCTGAAAATCAAGTAAAATGGATCTAAACATCCCAAAATGAGTATTACGCTCTTCATAACATAATGCTCATCAGTGCATGTGACTGTTTGAAATAGACAGTGATGAATTGAACAACAGAGAACAAAATTTACATTATATGAAATATTTAAGAAATAAGATATCGTGTGCCAGTGTAGGTAGTGATGAATGAACAACAGAGAATGAGAACATCTTTACACTACATAAAATGTATAAGAAATAAGATAACGTATGTCAGTGTAGGTAGTGATGAATGAATTTTGTCTCTCTCTATTTGAAAATGTCAAAAAACGGGTACACTTGTTAACTCTGTACGTCTATTTTGTTTCACTCATTTTAACTTTTCTCTTTATTTAACTTATACTAGCTATAAATATGTTAGAAAAATGAGTGATCCGATTTAAGTATTATACATAATACATAAATATTATATCAGTGAACGTTTGACCGCATTATATAAATATGTTGTTTATTTTAAATCGCATAATTTGTTTTCGACTTTCTTTTAATAACCATGCTTTTAGTTCTGAGAATCGTAACCGCGCCTTGCTTTGTCACCGTGCTTGTATTTGCAACCGTTCCTCTATTTGGAACCCTACTTTGTTTGCAGCCGTACCTCTATATGTAACCATGCCTTCATTTGCAACCCTGACTTTCTTGTAGACGATGAAACACGTCGATTTGATGGCTACATGACAAGAAGGCCACAAACAATAAAATTGCTCACGTTTTAAAAAATGACGTCCAATGTTTCCTAAGTTGTGATGCAGTTTATTGGGATATGTCTATTTTCAAGATCGCCTTGGTGACACTATTAGATGGCGTGGAGAAAACGTGTCCACGTCCATAGTTGAACCAATCATGGCAAGTGTACTAAGTTCAAGCTCTGTAGTCGTTTATGGAGTTGAAATTCTTGGTTGTGAAGGCCGAACAGGAATGGCGGCTATTGAAGATCCCCATGACGTGTTATAGATGTAAAGCTTTTATCGCAGAAGCTACCGGAAGTATTACCCTCTCACGCCAAACCCATATTCCTAAGGATTACCAACACCGTAGAGGTGACAGGAAATTCCAAAAGGCTGTCTTGAAGAAGGATGGACTTGATCCTACGTTTGTTTCAGATAAGTTCTTCTACTTTGATGACGTTTCAGGTGAGTACAATACTCTCACTAAAGAAATTTGTGGAAAGTTTGTTGTCGGTGACATGCGCATTTGAAACTAAATATCGCTAATTAGAAACAGTGATATGTTTATTGGTCTGAATAGCGCTCTGTTGTGAACCCCTAAAGTTTTGTTTCAGACAACTTTCAGTGGCAGTAGCGTAGCCACCTTCATAGTTGGAGGGGGGATATTCGTACATGTTTTACCGTATTAAGTTCCTTTAAATTGAAAGTGGGAGTATTCATATGCATATATGAATACTCCCCATCCATTTTTTTCGGCTAGCTTCATAACTCTAATGATTTTGTGACGTTTGTAAAGTTCAAACGCCGAGACATGTTTTACTAGCTAACGAACACAAAGTGTTGCTGGAATTTGCAGGGAAATAAATGTTTTGAACATCTGTAGCCATTATCCACGAGGAAAGAGACTGATGATGAATTTTAATTTTTGTAAACAGTATTCTGTATTAGCATCATGTAACAATTATACAACGATTAAGAGGCTGCTTCATTATAAAGGTTGAAAACAACTATATACCATAATTTAACATACTACAACATACTACAAAATATTACAACATACTAAACCATACTACAGTATACCACAGTATAGTTTTTATACAGTATGCTCAATTTAGCAAAAACTTATCCTCGCGCATGTTAGCTCGCGCATGTTGGCCGCTATGTTGTCAGTAAAGAAAGAGGAGTGAAAATATTAAGAATTGTATTACGGGAACGTAAAATTTCCATTAAATCGGATGTATTTCTGCGTTATTATTCACCGATTGCCTACAGTTTGATAAAATAACTGATTTGAGGATAACAATGCGTAGTTTATACCAGTGTGGAGACTGCTAAATCCAGAAAATTCCGACAAATCTCCTCTGTTGTTGTCGGCACTATGGTACATTAGCTAACGTGATTTGTTGTAACATTCTTTTAACAAATAAATTTTGTGCAAAGCTAATCTGAATTCCAAAATAGGTGGCAGAAGTCTATTTTGGAATATATCAACTTTTTTGCAGAACTTCTTTCCTAAATTAGAGAGCGAGGGAACTCTCTAAGTTAGTAGGAATGTTGGAAATACTTTGTGTGCATGAGTTTACATGTAATTTTGCTTATGATATTCACACTTTGATGATCATCTGCAAACACTGGAGAATCGAAGTCACGATTATTTAAGTGTCAATATTCATTCCGAAAATAGGTAAATGAATGATAGAAAGAAGCAAACTTACAGCCATAGCTTACTCTATTCCGGCAGTATTTTGGTTCTCCGTACCTGAGAAAAAGCCTAAACAACAAGTTAGAACAGGAAAAAAGACAAAAAAACATATACCTATGTTTATTTCTTCATCTTTTCGCCCACTGCATCTGCAAAATATTGAAAAACGACTTAACGGTCTGACAAAACAAACAAACAGACAAACAAACACGTACCGCTGCTTTAATCTGTATCTGTTGCCATTTAAGTATCTGTAAAAGAAATTGAAAAAATACAATCGTGACAAACACTTAAAGCTTCTGTATTTTGTAAACCCAGTGTTTGCAGACGATCTATGATATAATAATACTTCTACCATTATACAGTATGCAAGGCAATCCCTGTTTCCTGAACAATTAGTATCGAATACTGGAACATTTACTGCAGTTTGGTTATTTTAACTGCAGTGTGCCAGTATATAGACATAGGACACTGTTATAACATCCCTCAATGCTATAACAGTGCTAATTTTACATGCAATAAGTGACTATTTGTTGAACATTCATAGCTTGTTGACTGATTAGATAGTCACCTCAAATGGACATTTAATTTGGGAAGATTTTGCAATACTCTGCCAGCGTATTGCAATTTCTTTCTGCAACTCGTAATAAATCTATTTAATTATAAATAAGATTTCATTTCAATGTTACATGCATGATGCAAGGAACGTTCACAGCAAACACACCATCATATTAACATGTCAACAAGCATGTTAACTGATTTGTGCACATGGTTCAACATTAGTCAATGGTATAGAAGTGCCAGTTAAAGTATAATCTATTTCTTCCATCTGCAACATCATCTTGACGAAGACTTTATTTTCTACGAAAAATACGAAATAGTGAAGCAATGAAATTGAATTTAAGAGAAAAAAATGACACTGTATATTGACAACCAAGTACGTCAGACATTAATCGTCTGCGTATTTCTCCGTACTCTAATATGGCACTTCAATTAAATATTTTAGGATGTCAAACTTCATAGCTTTTTTTTTGCTTAAGCGTCCTTGTTTCAAGAGTTCTTGCGATACAACTCCAAGCACTCATTACATTGCAATCCCTTCTTTATCAACTCTTGTTATATGAGCAGCTCACTATGGAATTCTCCTTTTGAATTAGTTGTTTTAAAACTGGTTTTCTCAACAAATGATCGTAATTTAACAATGACTTTGACATGTTTAGTGCGGCTTTCGATGCCAAAGTTAAAAAATGAGATGGCTATCTTCTTTAGCAATACCACAAAAATTCAATAATGAAATAAGCAAAAGCAAAAGTGTCAATAAAGTAGTAAACAAAGACAATAAGCAAAGTATTAGCATTGACGTAAGCACAAGCATAAGCAAA